ACGCTTGCCCGGGGGATGGGTTTTAGTGCATTAACATCCAGTTAGACGGGGAACATCCCCCTATGATTTCTGCGTTCTAGCTTCTCAGATCCCCTAGTTATGAACTTACCCGAAAAAATTTTGGCGGGGCCGTACGCAGGTACCAGGCTTACCCAGGGGATGGGTTTAGTACATTAACACCTACTTGGACGGGGAATATCACCCTAAGACTTCAGCATTTTAGCTTCTCAGATCCTCAAGTTATGAACTTACCCCAAAAAGACTTTGGCGAGCCCGTACGCGGGTACCAAGCGGATGATGGCGCCAATTTTGGGGATTGGGGCCGGCACGTGCATGTAGATTAAGTTCCCGAAATTCCAGCCCTGTAGTTTTTATAGGTCTTGAGATGAAAGTGTGTGAAAGACGCACACACAAACAAATAGACGCACAGACACACGGACACACAGACAATCCCTCGTCAATATGCGTTTTTGCATTGCACAGCTGCAAAAAATGCATAGAAAAGGTGAAGCAAACGTAAGTTAAAGCACTCGATTCAAAGTTTCGTGAAGGGCTTTGTATAAAAACTGTTCATAAAACTACGAAATTTGTACTGATTGCGTAGGACGAGGGCGAATCACTTTGTAAACGATGGTATCACCCTCAGTAAGATGCACAGGTGGTCATAGGGGGATGTTCCCCGTCTAACTGGATGTTAATGCACTAAAACCCATCCCCCGGGCAAGCGTGGTACTATGCAAAAAGCGCATCTTCGCATGGGCAACCCGTGTGTTGGTCAATTGTTTAGAAGCAGTCGCTGTGTTTCAGGAATTTACAACATGCCCGAGAAATCAGTCTTTTCCTTTCAGGTCACCGGCCTAGCCGTTCATGGCGATAAATTGCTGGTAACATCAAACGATTCACGTATACGGATGTACGATCTTCGAGATATGGCACTTACGTGTAAATTTAAGGTAATTGCACGAATAATTTACATTTGGGGAATATTTTTCATATGTGTATGTGTGTGTATGATACAAACATATTTCATTTTTTGCTCGTTTTCGC